TGTATCACTTAGCCTGATGTTTTCAAAGTTTGTCCATGTTGTCACATGGATTATTACCTCATTCCTTTTAACAGCTGAATACTATTCCATTGTGCGGATATACCACATTTTGTTATCCATTCATCACTTGGTAGACATTTGAATTCTTTCCACTTTTTGGCTCTTTTGCTGCAGTGAACATTTGCATGCATGTTTTTAGTTAATCTTAAAATGTCTTTTAAAAGGTTACACTGTGATTCAACATTGAAATGGGAAAAAAAAAATCTTTGTATGAAGAAAGACATGAAAACAGAACAGAAGGGTATACATTTTATTTTATTTTTACTTACTTATTATTTTTTGAGACAGAGTCTCACTCTGTCGCCCGGGCTAGAGTGCCCTGGCGTCAGCCTGGCTCACAGCAACCTCAAACTGCTGGGCTTAAGCCATTCTCCTGTATCAGCCTCCCAAGTAGCTGGGACTGCAGGCAGGCACCACCACACCCAGCTAATTTTTTCTATTTTTAGTAGAGACGGGGTCTTGCTCTTAGTCAGACTGGTCACAAACTCCTGAGCTCAAGAGATCCTCCCGCCTGGCCTCAGCCCCCCAGAGTGCTAGGATTACAGGAGTGAGCCACCTTGCCTGGCCACATTTGAGTTTTTATGAAGCAAAACATTTATTTTGGAGGAATGATTGCAGTTTCACATTTTCTTGCAAAGCTACAATCAAGTGCTTTATGCGACCTAGAAAGGAAGATACCATAGGTGTATTAAGCTGTGTTAAGTTTTGTTACTGAGAGGCATGCAAAAGAATTGCCTGTCACGTGCCAGGCGGTGCACCTGGGGGAAGTTGCTGTATTCTTCATTATGAATGAGAAAGTTCAGAGCTCTAAGAAGCTGGTGTGATTGATTTATTACGTCATAGTTCAGGAGGCAGCAGTTTTTCTTTCTTTGTTATAACTCACGGCACCTTATATTTAATACATACAGTATTTACTTCTCTAATTCTGATGATAGCTTTAGAAAAGATGTACTACTCAGTAATCAAACTTGTGATTACATAAAAACAGGCAAAATTTAAAAAAAAATAGGAAACTTGTTAAGGTGCAAACATCAAGGTAAAAATACAAGAATAAAGTACTTGCATTGTTCTGCATTAAGTAGGTATTCTTGCCTATTTCTTTGTCTTCTCAGACATAGTATGGTAGAGATTTCAAGTTCTGGGTCAGTCAGGCTGGGTTCAAATTCCAGCTCCACCCCTTATTAGCAATAACCTCATATAAGTTACTTAAGCTCTCAGTGCCTCAGCTTTCTGTCAGATGGGCATAATACCTATCTTACAGGCCTGTTATGAGGGTTCAGTGAGTTTAATTAGTTAATATGTGCTAAGTGTTTAGAGCAGTACCTGGCTAAAAGTAAGCAATTTTTATTGGGATTATTGTTTGTGAATCATAGGTGTTAATTGATATGCAGAGTAATTCCAGATGAAGATGTGATTATC